TTCATGTCATCCAAATATCTAGTCCAATCACCATCTGAATAACCAATCAACTTTGAGTTTTCAATAGAATGGTATCAAATTCCATAGTTTGAAGTTCCTCTTAGATAGCGAAGAACTTTTTTAATTGCTTGTATATGTACTTGGGTTGGCTTCTACATAAATCTTGATAACACACTAACAACATACATCATGTCTGGCCTTGTGGTTGTTAGGTACATTAAGTTACCAAATATACTTCTGTACTGCCTCCTATCAGCTTCTCCAGAGTCATCTTCTTTAGTAAATTTATCATTTTGAGTCAAGGGTGTTGAAACATGTTTGCAATTTTCTATTTTAAACTTTCTTAAAATATTGTTGGCATATTTCTTCTGACATATGAAGATCTCTTGATCTGTTTGATTGATCTCCACGCCAAGAAAGTAATTCATCATGCCAAGGTCAGTCATCTCAAGCTGCTTCATCATATCTTGCTTGAATCTTTTATCATAGATGGATCGTTTTTCATAATAATAAAGTCATCCACATAAAGTGAGAGGATGAGGAATTTGATCTTTATAACTTTATGTATAAAATAGTCTCATTTAGACTCATTCTAAACCCTTGTTGAATAAAGCATGTATCAATTTGACTATACCATGTTCGAGAAGCCTGTTTAAGACCATATAGCGCTTTTTTCAACCTTAAAACTCCATCTTCTTTTCTCTTGATCTCGAACCTTGGGGGTTGTTTAACATAAATTTCTTCTTGAAGAAATCCATTAAGAAAAGTAGATTTCACATTAAGTTAATAAATCTTCCATCTTTTTTGTGCTGTCAAAGCAACAATAACGTTGACCATATCTTGTCTTGATATTGGGGCAAAAGTCTCATCGTAATCTACACCAAATTATTGTGAATATCCTTTATCTACCAATCTGGCTTTATACTTTTAAATTGAACCATTTGGATTAAGTTTTATCTTAAATATCTATTTCACACCAATAACACTTTTATTTGGTGATTTGGTTTGTAGTTCCCACGTCTAATTTTTCTCGATCATGCAAATTTCTTCCTTCATGGAAGTTCTCCATTCTTTATGTTGAGATGTCTCTTCATAGCAATTTGGTTCATGAGTTGCAAAATAATTAAACTCACATTGTTCAGCATCAAGATCAGAAATTTATTAAGTATCTCTATATAATTATGAAAATCTCTGAAATTTTCTAAGTGGTGTATTAGATAAACTATTATACTCATATCTAGGAGAATCAATATCATCTGAGCCACTACTTGATTCTTCTTGAGAATGTTGACTTGATTGATTGACTAGTGTTGGTGTTGGTGGAGAAGCTTCTTCTTTTTGAAATGGTTGAGTTGTGATATACTTCCTTTCAATATTAATATGCTCCCAATTTTAAAAACCATTTACATCAAACACAACATCTCTATTAATTTGAACTTTATAAGTGTATGGGTTGTACACTCTATATCCTTTTGACTAAGAACTGTAGCCAAGAAAGATTCATTTCTCTACTTTATCATCAAGTTTGTGTTATTTTTTTGCCCGTGCACAAATGTAACAAATACATCAAATACTCTTACGTGACTAACAGATGGTTTATGTCTACATCATGCTTCAATAAGTGTATATCCTTCAACTGCTTTTGTAGATAGTTGATTTTGGAGATAAATTGATATATATACTGCTTTAGCCTAAAACTTGTTAGGTAAACCTCTATCCTTCAGCATCGACCTTGTCATATGCATCACAGTTCTGTTCTTTCTTTCTGATATGTCATTTTATTGTAGAGTATATAGAACATAAGTTGATGATGT